ATGTCCGTCACCACCAAATCAGTTAACTTTGATAACACAAAAAAAGTCGTCTACGGATAATAAAATACAGAATTTAGATTTATTACAAAATATAGATAATATATCACAGAGCTAGCTTTCTTTTTCTTTCCCGGACATCCTGCAAAGATGATCCCTAAACATCATGTTCTTTTGGAATCGCTGGTACTAAATAAAAACGATTTAGTAAAATATGGACGAAAAAGAAATAATTCTACTTAATATTTTCAAATATATAATATGTTGAAAATACCAAATTTGGGTTTTATTCTGAAGAAAAACCCCTTTTTGGTACTGTAAAATACAACGCACCGATGCCAGAAACGTTAAAAATTCGCATCGAGGCCCGGCAAAAAAAGATTGTCGGCTTCTAGAGATTATCTGAGATGAGTATAACTTTAAAAAAAATGCTGAAGGTATGTTTGAAAAGGTTGAATTTTTCGAAGGAAAAGCATTAAAAATGTCCTGCTTTCATCCCAAATAGGAAAAATTTGTGCTCTACCCGAATATCATGTTTTTGCATTCTTTTACGAGACGCCTTCTGGAAAGATAAGGAGGGACATTACTTACATTACTTTCTCTTCAAATAGCAGGCAGTATTTCGGATTTTCCAGCACTATTTCTTTAATTTCTGCGGTATCTCAAACATTTTCAAACTACTTCTAAGTTCGTTTCGAAGAGGAGATCACACAAACATTCACAAGGAAACATTGTTGTTAAGGATCTCATTATTACAGGAATTCCTATGAATGTCGTACGTATGTATGAATTATTGTAGATCTGGCTAAATCTCTTGGCGTGAAAATTGTCGTTAAAGACATCTACGCCACACATCGATTACCTGTTCGTCGTATAGATTCTACTCAACCAATAATTGTAAGGTTCGTACGTGCTGATGACCGTCAAGAGATATATTCGAAACGTAAACAACTGAAAGAGATGCAAAATTATAAACCATCAATGAGCACTTAACATCAATAAATAATGAAATCTATGTGTATGCACGGAAAAAATTGCATAAGCGACGCGTCTTTACTCGGAATGGGTTGGTCTATTATTATGTGGCTAGTGCAAAGAATATTTTAATTTCCTCGCTTGATCAAATTGACAGTATCCAATGAACTGTTGGTTAGTGTGTACAAAACTTTCTCTTTTTCCTTCATCATGAGCCTAAAAAAACTGCTGATCCTCTTTTTAATTTTTTGTGTGATTGTACTACATTTTTTCGGTTTATCTTTTGTGCTGTGAGTCGACGCGATGTGTGTGGGGCGTCTTTTTCCTTCGACGCGATGGCGTCGCGTAATTTCTTAACAAAATATCAACACGTGTCGGATTCGATTCTTCTTCTTAACGCTAACAGTATAATGGGAAAACTAGATGAGAATTCAAAAAGTCCTCTCTCTCCTCTGAAGTTTGACTTGCTTGTTAACATGATGAACACTTCTAGACCCATGGCAGTTGTATGACCGAGTCTTGGTTAGGCAGAACCACTGATAGCTCTATATTGTTGGTAGGTAATTATCAGTCTCCGATACGTCGTGATCCCGTAGGAAAAGGTGGCGGAGGTTTGTTGGTTTTTGTTCGCAATGATATTATAGCTAAACGCTGTAAGACTTTGGAGAATCCTCATTCTGAGACATTATTTTTGGAACTCTCCTTGAACGACGGGAAGAGGTGTCTGCTGGGTGCGTGTTACAGGCCGGATTGGATAAACTCCCTGAAATTTATTGAACATCTATCAGATGCTCTATATAAAATTCGATCCAATATATATCGACAATATGACTCAATCGTATTTACAGGTGATTTTAACTGTCATTCGTATAAATGGTGCTCAACAAGAAAATCAACGGTCGAAGGGGACATGCTGTATGATTTTGCTCTTAATGAAGGCCTAGTTCAATTAGTTAGCGAACCAATGAGGTTGAAATCAAAATCATGTCTTGATTTGATTTTGACGAATAATATTGCTTCAGTGACAAATGTTTGTGTAAAGAGTCCATTATGTTCTTCATGCGACCATTCCATTGTTCAGTTTAATCTTTTGTCGTAAAAATTACTACGTTATAAGTATAAACGGAAAATTTATGATTATGTGCACACTGATGGGGATACTTATCGTCAATGTCTGGAAGCAATCGACTGGGATTCTCTTCTTGATCATCTCATATCTATGGATGATAAAGTCTGCATCTGGACGGCAACAATGCTAAAGATCGTAGATGAATGTATTCTTCACAAGATGATAACTATCTCCTCTTATGATGCACCGTGATTTACTAATAAACTACGAAAAGTCAATGCAAACAAACAGAAACTGTATCAGAAATATGCTAAAAGTCAAGCCGCAACCGATCAGCAGTTACTGCAGCGTCTTTATGTAGTGAAAGAGCATGTCGTGAACAGTTGTGTCAACGGTTCCTGTACAGGGAGGTTAGAGGATGCTCCAGTTGTCTTGTTAGCGATGCCTTTTTTGATCTCGTATATATCTTTCTCGAATATTCACTTTTCATTCTTTCATTGCATAATGCCGTCATAGTTTTCTTGCGCTTCTTCTGACGAGTCGAATACGAAGAATGTTCGATAACATTCTCGCTCTCCATTGTTCTTCTTGTGTGTATATATATATATTCACGTGTTCCTGAAAAGAAGCCAGATCACTTTATTATTTCATTTGTTTTTATTATCCAAATTTAATTGATGAAGTCCTTCGACAGCGACGATTATCTGTCTGATTCTCTTACCAGTAACGAGAGCAACGACAGTGACTTCAGTTTTGACTCGGATGAATTGGTTGATGACGTACAGGAGCTTCAGATCTCCGATGAATTTTCGAATGAAGACCAAATGGATATAGATTCTGTGAGAGAGAGTCATACTGGTGACAGCGGTTTCACATCGATTTCTCCCAATAATACAGCACCAATTGCAGTGTTCAGAAGCTTTTTCACGAAAGAAATTTTCAACCTGATTGTCGAACAAACAAACATTTACGGAAAACAGAAATTTCAAAGAAAAAGTCAGAACACAAAGGATCGGTGGAAGGACGTGGGAGTCAAAGACATTGAGTCATTCCTTGGGATAATTATTGTAATGGGAATCAATGCCTTGCCACGAATGAAACTTTACTGGAGCAAAGACAATATTTTTCATAATGGTTTTATCTCCGCGATTATGTCGAGAGATCGCTTTCTCCAAATCTTTGGTAATTTACACCTTGCTGATAATTCTCTGAAGCCAAAAAAGGGATCGAATAATTATAGTAAAATGGTTTCGTCGATCGGTCCATGACGACCAAACTTATAATTCTTCTGAAAATTTGCAACCAAAATCTCAATGAATTTCTTAATTTTGTAAAATATGGTGAAGTTCAAGGAAAGATCAAGTCTCAAACAATATTTACCTGCAAAACCGATAAAGAGAGGCTGTAAAATTTGGTCTTTATGCGATTCCATTACTGGCTACTTATTCAATTGTAGCGTTTACCTCGGAAAAGAAGATGTTGTTGACAACGAAACACTTTTGGGTGAACGTGTTGTTTTGACTCTTATCGTACAAAGTTTGGGTGAACGTGTTGTTTTGACTCTTATCGGTGGTCACAATTTCGAAGGAAAACATCTGTACTTCGATAACTTCTTTACTTCTCTTTCATTATTAGAGAAGTTAAAACTGCGAAGAATAAGTGCCACCGGCACTATTCGAGCCGATCGAGTTGGCATTCCGTCGCAATTTGCTTTGAAAGAGAAAATGAAACGAGGTGAACGCAAATCAATCGTCACATCAAACTTTGTTATCTTCAAATGGATGGATACGAAGCATGTCTTTCTAGCGTCAAACGACTGTCGGAACACTGGATCGTTAGAATATTTCGACGATTGAAAAATAGACAGCAAATCGAAATTGGCTGTTCTAAAGCGATCAGGGACTACAACAAATTTATACGTGGTGTTGATCGACTCAATCAAAGAATATCCTGCTACTTGTTTGATTGGAAGTCTAGAAGGAACTGGCTTCGCCTTTTCATTTTCTTTTCAATGCATGTTTAGCTAATTCATATATCTGTCACAATCAATTAGTCCAGAACAAATTATCATATTTGAATTATTTAGTTTCGGTAGCTGAACCTCTTTGTTCTGGTGCTGAGCGGGTAAACCCAGGAAGACCTCCTTCAGACAAGGTGCGTAATACACAATCACCACAGCGTGCTGCTCAACTGAATGGTCAAATGCATTTGCCTGTCACTGGAACCCGACGCAGGTGTGCTTGCTGTAGTACAAAAGAAGTTCAAGTTCGATCGAATATCGAATGCTCTACTTGCAAACTGGCGTTTTACGTAAAAGACGAAAAAAATTGTTTTTTTGAATATCATCAAGGTTTTGTGGGAACATTTTGATTGGTAGTCAATAAACCGATAAAAATAATCATTTTTGTTCCAGAAAAAAATTCCGTCTCCAAATGGATAACTTGTTAGTTGTTTCTTTTAATCAATAGTAATTTACCATCACAGATTTCTCTCCAGTCTAAGCACAAGACAGATTGACATTCGCCATCGTTCATTTCCAAAAGAGAGAGATTTTCAAAACGTTGTCTAAAAACACATATTGCCACAAGACTCAACATGATCGATCACCTATAGTCCATCCATTTTCAAGGCTATCAATAGTCACCAGATGTCAGTCCTGAGACTCGTAGGAAATCCACAACAACGCCCGAACCGCAGAAGCTCAAGATCTTCACTCGCATTTTGCAGAGAACATCCCAGGCTATTAGTCCATAAAAAGAAGAAATGCAATGCTATTCGAGAATTTTTCCTTGTCGATCATAGGATCCTCGTCGTGGAATGAGCCACCCACTTTTCATGGCTTTCCGAACAGTATTTCTAATGTCAAGGGGTCCTGGGACGCTTTTGTCACTATCATATACAAGGGGCACTCCAAAAGCTTTTTCCAAAGGCCTTTTTGACTAACATTCAAAGACTGGTTCTAATGTAGTTTTTCAAAGTACTGTTCATCAGCATCAATGCACTTGTGCATTCGGATAAGCCAGTCATCAAAGCAGTTTTTGAAATCATCCTTTGTGAGGCTGCCAATGGCTTGTTCTAACGCATTCAGCATTGCATGTTCGTCGTCGAATCGAATTCCACGTAGTTGATTTTTGAGTTTTGCAAACAAAAAGAAGCCACACGGTCTTAGATCTGGAGAATACGGTGGATTTCGATATGGTTCAACACGATTATCGGCCAGAGATTCGTTAATAGTTCTGGCTGTAGCATCATGCAAAATGAGACCACGAAGACCAGTCTTTTGTCGCCATTCCGATACTGTTTCGAAGACTTGTGGTAGACAGCTATCGACACATCATCTCTTTGTTACCGTTTCATCACGTTCAAATGGTATGGACTTGATTAAACCGGATTTCATGAAGAAAATCGCCACCATTCGCTTGCCTGAACTTTTGTATCGATGAACTTTGGTTGGTCGCGGATCAGTTTGTGACACCCAAACTTTTGATTGCTCTTTTGTTGTTGGATCATAATGATAGAACCATGATTCGTCACCAGTTATAATGTCAAATACATGACGGGATTGACCTCCTTCAAACCTTTCAAGTGAATCTCGACAAAATTGAATACGGAACTGTTTTTGGCCATCGGTGAGTTGATGAGGAACCCATCGAGTACAAATCTTGTGCAACTTTAAATATTCATGAATAATTGAATTGACCGCTGACGAACCAATGCCCAGGGTGTGTTCCATTTCTTCGTATGTTGAATGAGGATCATCTTCGATTATTGATTTGACAGCATCAATTGTTTCTTCGTTGATCGCAGTTCGAGGACGACCTGAACGGGCAGCATCTTCAACACTGAAATTGTTACGATCAAACTCATGATACCAATTGCGAACTGTACGATCAGAAGGCGCTTGGTCCCCCATGCTTACACTAAACAAACATGACTTGCATTGTGCGTTAGGCCGATTTTCCAGTCATATAAAATCATTGTTCGAAATTGTTCACGTGAGAGTTCAAAATTCATATCAAAAATTTTATATCTTTGATCTGAAAGAAATTTAAAAATACAGCAGCGCACAAGACTTTTAAATGTGTACTTTTGCACATAATCTAAATATGTCTAACCATTATAATAGAATTGAAAAAATTTGGATAACAAAAACTGAAAGAACACGTAACATAATTTAATTACCTTTTGCTGCCTCTTTAGAGAAAAAGTCGTTGATGAAATAATGTGTGATTCATTAGTTTATAAAATCGGTAAAACGGAATATGGACAGCTGGAATTTCGACATTGTCATTTTTGCTCAATATTTTCGAAAAATTGTCGAATTTCAGGTTGTTTTTCGACTATTGTCTTAAATCCTTGTAATTTCGACAATTGTTGAAAATCTATTTTTGTACGCTCCTGTAAAAAGTTTTCCATTCGATAGGATGTGAAGAACGAGAAAAAACTTACTTTATTTCTTTTGCTTAAAGTAACAAAGTAATAAAAGTTGTTACTTGTTACTCGTAACAAGAAATAGCCAAACATTTCTTGTTACGAGTAACAAGTCGTTTTCTTTGTTGCCCCTGAAAAGTAAAAGATTTTTTCCACGAGCAACTATTTTTTTCCACGAGGATATTTGTGCAACAAAAACATGTATAGAAGAAGAATAACGTGTTCTTTTGTTCTCTCCTTGTCATTTTACTTCTCGCTAAATAAACTTTTTTGTTTCTGTGTTCCTGGACCCTGGACTTTCATATATTGTTGTTTGACACTATTTTCGTATCAGATACTTTTCTATCGAGTGTGTTTCTCTATCCCTCGATAATAATGGGACATGTTTCTCTTTCGGTGGTAGGGGGAAAAGTTTTAATGATTTTCTTTCAAATGAAACAGCTTGTAAAAATGTATATGATATTCATTTAGCCCTTTTAAAGAAAGTCCTCAGTTCAGCTTTATCTAAAAAGAAAGCAGCAATAAAAAGAATCTTTTAAAAGAATCAAAATGTACCCTATATAAATGTATTATATATACTTCGGTTAACTTGTTCACTTTCAACAGAAAAGATCAATGTGTCAACACTAAACTTGAACGAGGGTATGCTTATCGCTTAGAATGCTCACTTACACTGTAATCATCAACGAGGGATGTCATAATCCCAATACGCTAGGGTAGCGAGGGCGGAAAGGTAATACCCTGTGTATTTTATACTTGACGACTTGAGGATCTATCTGTTTCGTATGGACGTGTTACAAAAACCAGCTCTCTGTTTTTAGTTGTCGATATACTCAGACAAGAAATTCAAAACCTAAAACTGGTTAATGAGAATGTAATAGCGAGATTATCTTTCATTATCACAGTCGGTAATAGTTCAGTGGATAAGAGGGCCGCGTGGCGTTTCTCCCTGTAAAAATGGCCGGGACATATTGTGCGCCTCTTAGTTCATAGAAGGGAAACAACGAGTCACTGAGCTGTTCATTTTTGAAATACAACCCAAAATAAAATCTTGGGTTTTCCTAAATTTCGCGCAGAAATGATTTTTTGAACCAAATTCGTTTTCAGGTGATAAATGTAGGTTTATTAAACAATAAACTTGCATTTTAACTAATTGTAAATAGCTAATTGAACTAATTAAATAAATTTCAGTGCGGCACGAGTTTTTCAGAAGCATCATATTCGGAGTTAGCGTCGAAAACCGAGTCGAATGATATACTTTTTTGCCTAGCCGACCAGGAATTCCATCTCAGGAATTACGTGAAAATTCGAAAAAAACAAAGGTGGTCGGATAGGTAAAAAAGTATATCATTCGACTCGGTTTTCGCCGCTAACTCCGAATATGATATAAAACTG